GTGCAACAAATATGTTGTGGCCAACAAGCAATAAATCTGTTGTGGCCAACGTGCAACAAGTGCGTTGTGGCTAATAAGCAACAAATTTGTTGTGGCCAACGTGCAACAAATCTGTTGTGGCCAACGTGCAACAAACATGTTGTGGCCAACGTGCAACAAGTGCGTTGTGGCTAATAAGCAACAAATTTGTTGTGGCCAACGTGCAACAAACATGTTGTGGCCAACGTGCAACAAGTCTGTTGTAGCCAACAAGCAATAAATCTGTTGTGGCCAACGTGAAACAAGTTTATTGTGGCCAACGTGAAACAAGTCTGTTGTGGCTAATAAGCAACAAATCTGTTGTGGCCAACGTGCAACAAGTCTGTTGTAGCGAACAAGCAATATATCTGATGTGGCCAACATGCAACAAGTCTGATGTGGTCATCGTGCAACAAGTCTGATGTGGCCAACATGCAACAAGTTTATTGTAGCCAACAAGCAACAAGTCTGTTGTGGCCAACATGCAACAAGTTTATTGTGACTAGCGTGCAACAAGTGTGTTGTGGCATGTGTTATGAAACAGTGGCCACAGGAATAATGTTGACACGACTTTGTAAGACAATGATCTGTACATTATAATATGAATTACATAATTATAACCATGTTTCGAGAAGAAGGTTGAAATATACTCTGAACAAATTCAAGTATGTACACACACACACACATCTTTTTGTTGTATATCAAGTATCTACAAATCTGTATTATAAATATGTACCACTCGAAAACACTTTGTGCTTCGTATAATTGAACTTTTCTGAGTCGGTCATCTAATTTCTTACGTCAACATTTAAATTTTATTGGATTGTGACCTGTATACATCATATTTAGGTCGTGCGCTTTCGTAACAGAAACACGAGCAGGTCAAAACCTAAACGTGCTCTCTGGCTTTATAAGACCTTGTGACGTCACAAGTTCTTCTCGTGGCCCGGACCTTTTGAGACGTCACAAGTTCTTCCCGTGGCCCGGACTTCAAATGAACGAAGGGAATAATAAAGAAGCAAGTAGGCGCCATAGCGGCGACAACGTGTAAACCTTCAGGTGCGAATTGTTCTTCGGTCTCGACCTGACATTTTTATAACATAACCACAAGGGGCTCTTTACTCACGTGCTTAGTAACCAGCTTCGTGATTAGTCAAAAACTAGCTAATGTCGATCCGCTCGCTTCTCTGTGATGTCATTTTATTACTCAGACATATCAACGTGTACTATTTGAAAATGGCTCTCAGAAAGCTATCAGTTTTAGATTGCCGAACGTGAAACACACGTTATAAATAAAAATATATTCACAAATATAATATGCAAGGATTCTCCTGAAGTATTACACGCAGATACGCAGAAGAGTAGCATAGCGTTCGGTTGTTGATGTTGTTTTCTTAGTACAAAGCTACACAATGGAATATCTGCATTCTGTCTACCGCAGGCAATCGAACCTTGGATTTGTGTGTATTTGTTCGGAACGGTGCTATTTATAAAGCAGCTATATCATTCAGAACAGCAATATTTATAAAACAGCTATACCATTGAGAACAGTGCTATTTATAAAGCATCTATAGCGTTCAGAACAGTGCTATTTATAAAACAGCTATAGCATACGGAACAGTGCTGTTTATAAAGCAACTATAGCGTTCAGAACAGTGCTGTTTATAAAGCAACTATAACATACGGAACAGTGCTGTTTATAAAGCAGCTATATCATTCAGAATAGTGCTGTTTATAAAGCAACTATAGCGTTCAGAACAGTGCTGTTTATAAAGCAACTATAGAATAGGAACAATACTACTTGTAAACTAGATATCAAGATCTTGAAATAAATGCTTACAGACATCAAATGCAGGAACATAGTCAGAAAAGAAGGTTATTGACTTTCCTTGCATTTAAACTAGAAAATTTTTTTTTTTTTTAAGTGTTATAAAATATAGAACTGTCCAAACGAAGAGTTGATACTGACTTACAGATAACTGATTACAATTTGTGAGTTAATTATATGGAGTTTAGTGGTACTAACTTAATTGGGCCAATAACTAATAAGTTAGTTATATATTTGTCCTTTGACATGGCTCTTCATATATAATCTCTAAAAAGGTCAGCTCATGGCATGGTCAGTATGGTTCCTAATAAAGCACATACAGGAGCTGTGATGACGTCAGAACAACCAAGTTCTGGTGATATTAAAACCGTTGTTATGAAACCACTGTTACTCAATCATGTCTATTAGCGAAAGCTATTACGTACAGAGACATAGATGGCTCGTTCATTTACCTAACTGAGAACGTGCGCTTATAATTTGACATTTTTTTGAAATTATCATTTCAGTACAATGATATGACAGTCGTCAACTAATATCAACAGTTAGATGATCTATTAACAAATTTAATCCTACTTTTATTTGAAAGCAAGAGATTTATGGTGGGCATTTCTACCAAATTTTATATTCTGCATGTATTTGTACTTTTGTAAATAGAGCAAAGCTACCAAGGCTAATTCTGATCTACTGACCACCATCTATTCTAAAGAAGTGCCTGTGGCTCTTATAATGCACCCACAGCTTTAAAGAGCGGAGAATATTTTGTGGTAGCACACGGATTCGAACCAGGGGTTTTAAATTATATTACCAAACATAAACCGATGAATGATAAAGAAATATCTGAGTATATGTCATAGTCGACTCTTTACATTGCAAGATAACTTAAATGAGACTCTTAATTAAAATAAAAGATATATGATTAAGGCTACAACACTAAAGCAGCGGCCTTCGTTTAGGCAGATAACACAACACATACTGTTGTTATATGAAATATTAATTAGTTTTTTAATAATAGCCGTTATTTTTGTTAAGCTCACATACTTGTCAAAATGAAACAGTTACAGAAATAAACAAGTTTAGAAATTATCTCCTAAAGTAAACATCAAGTTACACACCCGAATAGTGTAGTTAATTTACAACACGTAGTTGGAAATCTAACAGCTCTGATATTTCATTTTAATGCTTCATTTGCATGTTGCCGCTGTCAACTAAATTTAAAATTAATATTTCTGTTTTCCTAAAATGTTCATGGGACAATAAACTTGACAAAGTAACTATACAGGGCTATGATCGAGTGGGTTTGTTTTAGAAATTTTGGGCAAAGCTATACAAAAGGCGTCCCTAATTTTGAACCAATAGACTAAAGGGAAGGCAGTTAAGTCAACAGCACCCATTGCTGCCAGCTATCGAATAGTGGGATCTGACCATCACCTTTATAACGCAGCCATAGCCCCAAAGCATGGAGCACGATTTCTTTATGTGCAGCGACGGGACGGAAACCTGGATATATAGTATGGGCATACTAACCATTAGTGATACCAGTGGGAAGCATTTGGTAAAGTGTTTAGGTCTTAAGAAATAAAAATTGAAAGTAGCATATATATATATATATATATTCTATAAATATAAATATATGGGTGTATATATACACAAACACACACACATATATATATATAAAACGTATGTTATCATAAACTTGCACGAGACAAATATTTGGACATTTCAGTTTTAAACACCACACAATAACGATTATGTGTTTTCCACATTTCTTATATTTATCTACTTATGAAAGCTCGTATTTCTCTTTTTCAATTTTTATTTGGCTTTATGCCTTTTAACGTTATACTACCAGTGTTCCCCTTCTGTCCATTGAAACAACGTTATACATTCTTAAAAAACAAGTATTAGGGCGTCATTCGGGCAATGGCTTCTGTTTGTAGTATCGTTCAGGCAACTTTGGAACGTTAAGGACTTCGGATGAAACGTTAGAATTGTTAAGGTAATAGTTATGTTGAACGTTAACGCTCAAAACACGTATATACATGCACACACAGTCACGAACAAAATAGCTACGATAAAGTATGTATCATCTGGGTTTATATTAAATAATTAGATAAATGGTAGAACACTGTAATACAAATAAAATGTGCAATCCTCGAGTTGCAATCGTTTCTACTGTTCTGAACAAGAGCATATTTTACTATTTGTTTTCAGGCTTTTTGGTCGGGAGGTTATCTGTATTTTTGCCATGTGTATGCATGTATGTGACTATTTTATTCACGTCGTTGCTGTATCTACAACAGCGATTAATAAAAGATTCGTGTCCTAAACGTCATACCGATACTCAGTCGGGAGAGAATTAACTTAATGACCATCAACTCAGGATGTAGTCGAAGTTTTTTAGAATAAACTAATTGAGTTGAATGAAAGTTATACTTGTGACTGCATATAAAGCGCCATCTATCATCCAGGGAAGTTTTATTACACAAGTCTGAATCCGAGTTATTCACATACGCAGTACTTTATATAACGAATGAAAACTCTGTTCACTGTCAGTTGAAAAACACACGCCAATAACCAGCTTCTATACTTAGTACGTGTACATCTACACTATATATGTTAAATAACTGAATAAATTAAAATCTATTTTAGTTCTCCAGTAGTTTAATTTAAAGAATTATAACATGGCTCTCTCTATACAATGATATTCTGTCTTCTTCCAATCCTTATTTCAATCTATTAAACTAAACTTGGCTTAAGATTGCAACTGTTGATTATATATGTGTTTGTATCAGCAGAACACCTTATCCAGTTTGTACAATACAAGTTAAAGCCTCATTGAGGTTCGTCTGTATCACCGATTACTGATGATAGTTAAAGTCCAAAAAAAACATCAATATCATTCGTCTACTTTCTCATTTCCTTCTCCCTTTTTTCTAATTATTTAATCTACTCTTTCGTTGGTAAAAAACGAAACCAAAACTAAATTACTATAAACGAACTAGAAAACATGATGTTTCACAGAAAAAAGGAGAGAGAGAGAGAATAGTGGGGGGGGGGGACTTGTGAGCAGAACTTAAACATTGAAAGACAGAACATAAAAAAGCAGCGCATAGATGGATGAATAGATGAAGGGTAATTATTGTAATTAACATACCAGTTTCCTGTAGCTTGATGACTTGGATTCAGGATTGGAGAAGGTTGGGAATGGTCGAGAGCTTGCTGGTGAATGCCTGATAACTGGTGACATCTTGTTCTCTACCTCAATAGGAGAGTAATAGTCTTCCAAAATTTTTACTTTCTTGTCAGTAAATACGCTGTACTCACCGTGTTCAGTAACAATACTAAAAAAATCTCAGTTCAGTTGTGGACAATTAGTATTATTTCCAAAGTTATGCTTTAAATACGAAACTTATCAAAGACAGGAAAATCTCCTAAGTTCCAATGCTTGTAAGCATATAAAACTTTAAATATATAGTTGGCGTTTTTTAGTACGAAAAACGTCTTTCTTTGTTATCTCTACGAGTTACTGGCTCTTTGGATTCGAGGATTTTTCATATTGTGATGCAGAGTCCACTGTCATCATACATGTAAAAATTTTTCACCTTTTCACGTGCAAAGATTCTGCTCGGAAACATTGGCTCAGTTGAATTAGCCACCGGTCTGCCTTCTTTGTCCATCTTGTCTAACAAGTTTTTCCACGAGAATACTCCCTTTAGAGATACGCCGCGCAAAGGTCCCACGGTCACAAAATGAAACTCAAACGTCAAAGGGGTGAAGCCCACTCTTCCGATCACAACAACCGCAAGCCGAGTTCCTAGCTTACGTTTTCCTATTCGCCAAGTACACTGGAGAACTCACGTGACTTAAGCTGCTAACAAGTTGTGGCACTAAGAAAATGCCGAAAGATGACGTATGAAGGTAACGTCGATGTTTCGAACCTCACTGTCGCTGCGAGATAAAAAAACAAAACTAAACCAAGGATGATGGAACGTTTTATTGGAAGCCTAGTTTCATTCTTTATACTAATTATATTCTAGGAAAAAAAAACTGCTGTTCGCGTTTATTTTTCATAGAAAAGTTTTACTAGTTTTCAAGGCAGAACTTACGGAGCTTTTGACATGAAAATTATTTTTAGTGTAGCATGTTTTATCATACCAATTAAATTACCCCCTTTGGCTTTATCCATAAATTCTAACATGCTGATGTTTTACAGCAACCCAATACACGTATACAGTACTTGAAGAGCACATACTTTACCCACAAGAAAACAAACGATTTTCAACTTTTAATGCTCTAAGGCAAGTCCAGAACGATGGTTAGAACTGTATATAGAATTAATTGGTATTCAGACGTGCCGTTGCGGTGTTTTTATTTATGGAATTTCCAACAGTTAAAGTAGCTCTTCAGATACAGGAGACTGGAGATTTAATTGGCCGACAGTGTGTACTGATTAAGAGAGAACAGGTGAAAACCGACTGCATGTGGTTGTAGAAGTGTTGACAGGTTTATGACTTGCGTGGGAAAAACAACACCGTTTCTGAAGTTTATGGACAAAAACAAAAACAGTATTCTTCCGTTTATATCACAAACTTTTACTCGTAATTTATACAAAAACCTTTCAAAGTAGAATATAGAGTGTATTTACTACTGTAGAAAGGCAGATTATCTTATATCACAGGACGAACAGTATACTTTCTCCATCGGATTGGACTAGGACTCTATTAAAAGTTGAGATTACAGAAAGTCACAAGAGATTGATAACGTATTCATTATTCTTCTTTATCGGGATTCGGTTCATGTTTTGACCAGTGATGCGCAACCGTTTTATAAAGCGCGCCATCCCTTTCTAAACACGTGTTTGTTGCGCTCCCCCTATAATCTATTTATGTATACACTATACATGTAATTTTCTCATTTTAATTGTTGTTAATATATTATTTAATAGTAGTAATATTTGTACGGTAGTTTTTAAAACTTCTTTATTTTTCAAATTGTACTTTTAGATATAATTTATATGCTCTTTTAGTCATAGTTGCAGCGCCCCCCTCCTCCGACTCTCCACGTCCCTCTTGGGGGGGGGGATCCCACAGGTATGTCCCACGGATCTAGAAAAAGTCCATGACCCACAGGATACATAGAGACAAAAAGTATGCTTTCTAATTTTGACCAGTTTGTAGAAAGTAAATAGAGCTCTAGTTTATATTTCATGGGAAAGTCAATTTCAACGTTGCTACAAACAATTCAATGAAAACTAATAAAATAGAGTCTAAATATTTGGTTATCAGGAATATGGCAACATCTTAAAATACTGGTTTCAGGTATAATTTTTTTTTATATATATTCAAACTTTAAAATTTAAGAAGAGTAGTGTCACTGAACTATTGTTTCAGAAGGTATGTTGATCTTTCATAACATGTACTAAAGATGATGGACAAGAGTCCACTTTGTAATTTTTAAACATTATTGTTTGTAATTAGTAGCGTATTTTTGAAATAAGAATATATCATAAACGGTTTTCAGGAACTTGTGCCCCCCCCCCCTCAGTGGCACAGCTGTATGTCTACGGACTTACAACGCTAGAAACCAGGTTTCGATACCCATGGTGGGCAGAGCACAGATAGCCCATTGTGTAGCTTTGTGCATAACTACCTAACAAACAAACAGGAATTTGTGCACATTTTAGTAGTTTTGTTTCTAAGACAATTTACAGGATTGTAGAAATGTATTCTAATTTGCACAACGAACTGATTGTTTTGACGCAAAACTACACAATAGGCTATCTGCGCTCTGTCTACCATAAGGAATCTAATCTCGGATTTTAGCGCTGTAAGTCCGTAAACTTAGCGCTGACTCACTGGGGGAGTTGCATGATGAAATAAACTGTATTAATAATTTTCTCAAACGTAATGCGTTTGATAGTACTCTTATAAGCTATATGTGTAAAATTTTAATTTAGATGTTATCTAGAGGGAGTTGCAGGTCGTAATGATGACGTTAAGTTAGGCCTAGAAAGTTCTAAGAATTTGGTGTCAGGTTTTCAGGTACATTCGAGGGTAGATTAAAATTACGGTACGGGGTCAGTGAAGCAGCGGGTATATACGTAGATAAAGTATAGTTAAAAAGTTAGTTGAGAAAAGTGAGTTATTTCAAGATGATGGAGTAGAGCGAATCAGTATCTTTCTCATTATTTCGTTTCACCTGCAAGTGTTCAAGCTTTTCAAAACGTCAAGGATGAAATAAACTAATCCGATATCGTTTACGTGGACTAGACTTTGAATTATTTTCAACAGATAATTTAAAAGAATCCGCTAATGAAAGAGCAACATTACAACAGTACTTTTAAGAATATTTACAGAATCATAATTTAATAAAACATGAATTGGTTGTTTGACTGTTTGTTTTAGAGCAAAGCCACATTAGACTATCTACTGTGTTCACTGTAGGGGATCGAATTCAGGATGTTAGCGTTGTAAATCCATAAACTTATAAACTTACCCCTGCCCAACCGGGCAACATTTCATAACATAAAGGTAAGAGGTAATTTGTTATCTACGAACTTGTAGGAACATGTCCGAACTTGTATGTCTTCTTGGTAAAGATGAACATGTCCCAAATTGTATGTCTTCTTGGTAAAGATGAACATGTCCGAACTTGTAGGAACATGTCCGAACTTGTATGTCTTCTTGGTAAAGATGAACATGTCTGAACTTGTAGGAACATGTCCCAACTTGTATGTCTTCTTGGTAAAGATGAACATGTCCCAAATTGTATGCCTTCTTGGTAAAGATGAACATGTCCGAACTTGTAGGAACATGTCCCAACTTGTATGTCTTCTTGGTAAAGATGAACATGTCTGAACTTGTAGGAACATGTCCCAACTTGTATGTCTTCTTGGTAAAGATGAACATGTCCGAACTTGTAGGAACATGTCCCAACTTGTATGTCTTCTTGGTAAAGATGAACATGTCCCAACTTGTAGGAACAAATATACATAAATCTATAAATACGTAGTTCAGAAAACTACTTTGTTAGGTTGAAAAACAACAACACCTTATTAAGTACAGACCTTTTTTACTTCTGAAGAACAACACCAGTGAAGTGTTCGAAAGAGCTTGAGTTTATGGGTCTTTTGAAACCTATTATTCAGTACTTGTAGGTAATAACAACTATCTCTTTATAAATGCTATTCCGATGGATATATGGTACAAAGTTTAATACACTTTGGCAATTTTCACTACATACTGGTTTGTAGAAAATAACTTTTTCCAGTTTTTAATAATACCTTTTTATCCAACTTTTACGTAAAACATTGAACAGTCTTAGACTGAGGTATATACGAGGAATCTTCGGGAGATCGTTACTTTGTAAACTGTGGGCTTGTGTGTTCAAATTTAGTATGACCCAGTCTTCTGAGGTTAGGTAACTACACTTAATTGTTTGACGTTAACCATCAATGACATACGTTTCATCATTCTCCAGATATCAGTACCTTGCCATCCCCATAGGAACTGCCTCTGAAGGAAACTACGTTTCATCATTCACTGGACCTTGCCATCCCGACAGGAACTGCCTCTGAAGGAAAACTACGTTTCATCATTCACTGAACCTTGCCATCCCCATAGGAACTGCCTCTGAAGGGAAACTACGTTTCATCATTCACTGGACCTTGCCATCCCCTACAGGAACTGCCTCTGAAGGGAAACTACGTTTCATCATTCACTGGACCTTGCCATCCCCTACAGGAACTGTCTCTGAAGGAAACTACGTTTCATCATTCACTGGTACCTTGCCATCCCCTACAGGAACTGCCTCAGGCTCAGCGACCCATTGTCGATACTCATGATAAAAATTACGAAACTTTTATCTTTTTATCGACTATTATAAAGTTCATTAATCATTGTAGGATTATTTTCATGGAAAATTGGCATACCACAATACTACACAAAATACACATCTAATACAACAGGGGGTATCTAGAACAAACAATACTACACAAAATTCACATCTAATACAACGGGAGATATCTGGAACAAACAATACTATACAAAACATACATTAATACAACACGGGGTATCTAGAACAAACAATACTACACAAAATATACATCTAATACAACACGGGGTATCTAGAACAAACAATATTACACAAAATACACATCTAATACAACACGGGGTATCTAGAACAAACAATATTACACAAAATACACATCTAAAACAACAGATAGTATCTAGAACAAACAATACTACACAAAATACACATCTAATACAACAGGTAGTATCTAGGACAAACAATACTACACAAAATACACATCTGATACAACAGGTAGTAATTAGAACAAACAATACTACACAAAATACACATCTAATACAACAGGTAGTATCTAGAACAAACAATATTACACAAAATACACATCTAATACAACACGGGGTATCTAGAACAAACAATATTACACAAAATATACATCTAATACAACACGGGGTATCTAGAACAAACAATACTCCATAAAATATACATCTAATAAAACAGGTAGTATCTAGAACAAACAATACTACAAAAAATACACATCTAATACAACAGGGGGTATCTGGAACAAACAATATTACACAAAATATACATTAATACAACAGGGGATATCTAGAACAAACAATACTCCATGAAATATACATCTAATACAACAGGTAGTATCTAGAACAAACAATACTACACAAAATACACATCTAATACAACAGGTAGTATCTAGAACAAATAATACTACAAAATACACATCTAATACAACAGAGGGTATCTGGAACAAACAATATTACACAAAATATACAT